AAAACTTGAAATCGCATCATATGACCCCTTTAACCACAACAGTTTGACCTACTGGTGCGGTGCTCAATACTAAATACATAATACAACAATCCTTAAGTGCATGAGAAAAGTCATTAAAATAATACAACCGGAACTAAAATAAATATACAATTAAAATCCATCCTGTAACTGAAACATGAACGTGAAGATTACCTTACAATAAATACACTCCTTTGGGCTTTGATTGAGTAAAGCAGTGCATTATGGATGCGTATTGTTGGATTCCAGACATGCCAGAAAGTAAAATGCCTAACTACATATTTATTAATAATAATAATAATAATAAACAGTAGTTGTGTTTATGTGTATCCATGGTTTTAGAATGTCAAATGTTATATTTATTTATACTATAATTTTAATAATTTTGTAAGTTAACATAATTTAATAATTGGCCATTGATATAGCTTGTTGCATGTCATAGTTCTTTCAACTTTCTGTGACAAACAATTTCTTCGTGAATCTCTTACATCAGGGGCCTCATAAAACATGCGTATGCACAGATTTGATCTTAATATCAATTTCAAGATCATTTGCGATTCATAAGAGAGGCATGCATTTTCTGTACGTACGTTCATGTCTTGTAATCACATGTATGCACTTTAAAAAAAATGATCCCAGATCAAATGTAGGACAGTTTCTACACGACATTTTACGAATGAGGCTCCTTGACATGAAATACCTGATTGTGCAGATATCTATCCACCTTATCTTTAACATGTGGGCGCAGACCTTTTTAACCTGCTTAGTTATTTTAGCTTCATAATGCAAACTGGCATTTGTCATCATATTGTTGTTTAAATTTATTGTTGTTATCTCACTTTGGTTTGTAGTGCAAATAGTTTGACCATTTACTGAACTTTGTTTTTCTTCTAATCTAGTTGTTGACCTGTAGCAGCTAAAGAATCAGAAGTCTTGTACTGTCACAGAAAATTCCTGCAGTGAAAAGTAAGGCTCCACTCCTGGAATTCTGCTGTGCAAAAAAGAGATGTGGCCATGCCTTAAAGGGATAGTTCACCCAAAAATTAAAATTTGATGTTTATCTGCTTACCCCCAGGGCATCCAAGATGTAGGTGACTTTGTTTCTTCAGTAGAACACATATGATGATTTTTAACTTTAACCGTTGCAGTCTATCAGTCATATAATGCATGGCAATGGTAACAAAATCTATGAGAGTAAAAAAAAACATGCACAGACAAATCCAAAGAAACAAAGTCACCTACATCTTGGATGCCCTGGGGGTAAGCAGATAAACATCAACTTTTCATTTTTGGGTGAACTATCCCTTTAAGAAAGTGAAATCAGCATTTCATCTTCTCCAACTATCTGCTATGGGTCTCTGAACATGATGTATCATTCTCCTTAGGCCCATATTAAAATACCATATTTCTTCTACCCATATATCTTGCATTTTGTCAATAAATATTTCGGTTTGATCGCATTACAAAACCTCAGTGTTCTCAGATCTTTTCATTGTGGAAACATACTTATGAAAACACATCTCTGTTGGTCTTCTGCCCATTGATTTCCATCCATTTGCTTGTCCTCAGTAGAGCATTACTAATGTCTGCTGGACACAATTCAGCTGTTTATCCCACAGCAGCAACAAAAAATGCTACAGTTCTCAGACATTTATCATAATACACTCTCGCTGGCTACCACACTACCTGTAACGATTTATTATAGAAGTTGGATTAATGTCAAGGACGTTGCGCTGCTTGTGTATTAAATATTAAATAAATATTGCTGTCTGAAGTTGGAAAACTGCTCTTTATACTGTAATAGGCATAGCGACAAAAGTAAAGAAAAAAGTTTAAGCTTACAGTATCATATGATATGCTAATTTTTAAGTCCTCTAAATTATTAACATGATCAAAACTATATTTAAAAACTTGTTGAATACAATCAACTATACGGGACTTCTGTCAACTTATTGATAGTTTATACTTTTTAGCAAGTAAAATGCCTTTTAGTATAATTGTAAAAATGTCCCCCTTCAGTTTGTGGTTCATGTTTTTTTTTGTTTTTTTTTTGCTTTGAAATTTACTATGAAGTAAATGCAAGAATAACTTTTCTTTGATATGATTAGTAATATTTCAAGATTTACTGGACTAAAGCAACTTTACAGTCTTTACAGTACTTAATTATCCATGCATTATTTTTTTTTTTATAAAAATACTTAAAAAAATAGAGTTTGTGTACTTGGACAGGACTCGGACTGCAATTATGAATGAACTCGGACTCAGACTCGGGTGGACATGTACTTGGGCTTGACAAAGACATTTTGGACTGGAAACATTCATAGACGAATCCATACAACATTAAAGATAATAATCTACAATATAAAATTAAGATAAAAAATACATTAATAAATGTCTCTCACTCAAACTGAATTGGTTAAAGAGTAAGACTTGACTCGGACTTGGACACAACGCTAATAATGTTAAAATGTGAATATCAACTTTAGTAGCACACTATAGGTGCTATATTGCTTGTATTGTGATTCAAGTTTGAATTGTGCATGGATTTTAAATATGTACTTTTGTATTTATAAGTCTTTGCCAAACGAAAGCACTAGATGGTGCCTGTATTCTTTATAAGTGGTGTGTGTGTGTGTGTGTGTGTGTGTGTGTGTGTGTGTGTGTGTGTGTGTGTGTGTTTGTGTTGACAGCTGACACACACACGCCTCAAACTCTACCTGCTGAGAGGAACTACTAGTCCAAATAAAAACCTTGTTCCTCTGGAATAAATGGACAAGAAAAGGCCTCTATGAAAGCAAGCGAACTTGTAGTAGTAGAGTGTCATGGGCAAGTTCTGCTGTTGCACTTGCTCTGTTGGTAATGCACTGTAACAAAATGATTTGTCAGATTATTCAGCACGGATGTTCCGGCTTTAATCTGCGCCTCTGTAATGTAAGTGATATTAAATGCCTATAACCTGTCTATGTGTGATACAAAGGAGACACTAGTGATTCAATATAGATTGCATTTCACCTCCAATCAAAATAAAGAAATAAAAAATAGAATGTATTTTGGCCATATAAAATAAAGCTTATTTTATGACCATTAAGCAGTTGGACATACAAATTTAAGTAAAATCTTACTTTTATGCATCTGGGCACTTTCTTTCTTTCTTTCTTTCTTTCTTATTTAAAAATTCATGGGGCAATTGTGCTTAGGTTTAATATAAAAATGGCAACTTAACAGTAAGGTTTCATAATTAACAGTAATTACTGTAACTATACTGGTTCGCATACACTTAAAATGAACTATAGCTGTATCTTTTAAGATGAGTTACTCTACTGTGAACTAACATGAATAAACAATGAACTATTGTATTTTCATTAGCTAACATTAAGACAGGTTAATAAATGCTATTTCTCATAACTCGTGCATTAACGCTAACGAATGAGACCTTACTGCAAACCGTTATTATAAAAATAATGTCACAATGCAAAAAAAACAACAACAACAACATTATAATGGTTCTAAAATTGGTATCATTTACTTAATGTAAAATATATTTTCTTTTTTGGAGGGATGAAATGTAACTCGAATATGTTCTTGACAGATTTGAAACGATTCACCCGTTTGTATTCATACAGAAAGCGATATAAAACCTGTTAAAATCATCAATTGTAGTGTGGCTCTAGACATCAAATTAATGTTAATTAAGGGATGATGAGGTATATTACTCTATAATGACATGCAAGCATGATTAATTAAGAGATTAGAATGGGATCACCATATGAAGATATATATAGAAAAGGTTATTGTTCTGTCAAGTGTGCTTTGTGGGTCATATAAAGCATCTTCAAGTCATGAGGCGCTCAACAGCGTGTTTAAAAGTCAACATAACACCCGTCACACGAAATGTTAGCATTTCACAGAGCTGGATAGTTAGACGGGGAAGTAATGTCACTTTCAATCTGAATATGAGGCATCACACAGAGTTTTAATTTTTTTTTCTTCACAGTGTTTTCCATCGCCTTTCCTTTCCGCCACAAACGGCAAAATGCCAAAGGCCGCTGAGCGAGAGCATTTGGCTTCTCGAGCCTCAGCCGCCCAACACCTCTGCTCTCCTCGCCTCGCCTTTTTTATTTATCTGTTCCGCCTTGGTTGTTTAGACCCAATTAAGCGGCTAATTGTGGAGATCAGGGAGGATTGCATTGTTGTAAAAGTACAGAGCGCATGGCTAATTGCCGCAGCAGCTGCCAGTGTTTATGAAAAGCCGGGTGGTTCTGCGGTTCTCTCGGAGGAGAGCGAGCTCTCATCCTCCTTCTGATGTGGTGGAGAGAGCCAGGTGAGCGGCGAGCAGTCGCCAGGGTGTGCATTGCGGGGCGGAACAGAATGGAAGCTGCAGAAATAATTACCACCACCGAGGGCTTCCTTTCTCTTATCTTGGGCTCTCGCTCCCCTAGGCAGGCAGAACCTTGAGGATGACACCAAGCATGTGGTGGGACTCGGTGATATGGAAGGAGACCAGGATACAGATCCGCTGTCAGCTTTTATCTAAATGATCTCACACTTGTCTGTGCCAGGTGTTTTGGGTGGGAGTATGTGAAATAAGGCACGCATCTTTGAGTCACCACTGAGGCTGTTGTCAAGTGATGCTACTGGCTCCCACAGCAGATGGGTTTTGCAAAGTAAACTTTAGGAACGTCGTTGTGCATGGCTGCAGCTGGTTTTGGATGGTGCTTGGATACATCATGCATGCTTCTTCTCAACGCAGAACATGATATAATGACCTGACACCTCTTTTGACATTGTCATTCTTTTGGCATTACAGAATTTCCTTTACGTTGTGGCACTGGCGAAGTTTATGATTTTTTTTTTTTTACAACATTTTTTTTGACATTGCAACTTTCTATTGACCTTACCGCAATTTTTGCCATTACAACATATTTGTAGAATTATGACTCACATTTGACATTGCATTATGTTTATGACATTGCGAGATTCTTTTGAAGTTGCAATATATCTTTTTGGAATATTAGTTTACTATTGCAACATGCTTTTGGCATTCCGACATTATTTGAGATTGTGAGATTCTTTTGACATTACAACATTTTGTCATAAAATCCATTTACAGCTTTCTTTTGGCAATATTTTTTTGTTATGATATTCTTTTGATGTTATGACTAATTTGGCCTCACTTTTTTGCACTATGATAGTATATTGACATTATGTCATTATTTTGGCATTATGACATTCGTCTAATGTGAAGAAAATCATTACAACTTTTTTGATATTTGAACATTCTTTTGGAATTGCAACATTCTTTTAATACTGCAACATTCCTTCACTTGGTAACATTAATTTGGCGTTATTACATTTTGCCATCATGCCAGTTTATTTATTTTTTGGCACTACAGCATTCTTTTGTGATTGTAATATTATTTTGACATTCGTCTAATGTGAAGAAAATTCAATAGCATTACAACTTTTTTGATATTTGAACATTCTTTTGGAATTGCAACATTCTTTTAATACTGCAACATTCCTTCACTTGGTAACATTAATTTGGCGTTATTACATTTTGCCATCATGCCAGTTTATTTATTTTTTGGCACTACAGCATTCTTTTGTGATTGTAATATTATTTTGACTTATTACAGTATTCTTATGGCATGGCAACATTAATTTGGCATTACAACATTCTTCCGACATGAGACAAATTACATTACAACATTTTTGATATATAAACTTTTTTTAAAAATTATTATTATAACATTCTTTTAACACTGCAACATTCAGCATGGCAACATTAACTTGTCATTTTCGTATCATGACAGTATTTTGACATCATATCAGGCATTGCATGATTCTTTTGAGATCGTGAGATTCCTTTGGCATTTCAATATTTTGTCATTAAAATTTTATTTTACATCTATCTTCAACATTGTTGTGGCATGGCAACATTAATTTGGCATTACTACATTATTCTGACATGAACAAAATTACATGAAATATGTTTGGATTCATTTTTGGATATTGAAACATTCTTTGGAGAAAAAAAAAACAAAAACAAAAAACAATATATATATATATGTATTACATTACAGCATTACAGTATTTTACCATTAATGTTTTAAAGGGGTCATATGATGCTGCTAAAAAGAACATTATTTTGTGTATTTGGTGTAATGAAATGTGTTTATGCGGTTTAAGGTTCAAAAAACACGTTGTTTTCCACATACTGTACATTATTGTTTCTCCTCTATGCCCCGTCTTTCTGAAACGCGGCGATTTTTACAAAGCTCATCGGTCTGAAAA